TAGAGGGATGTGCCTCTATGCTCGCTTAACCAAAATACTGCTTTTTTCCTCAGTACTGGGGATTGAACCCATGGCCTTTGTACTGAGCTACATTCCTGGTCCTTTTAAAAAATTTTAATGTTGAGAGAGGGCCTCGCTAAGTCCCTGAGTTTCCCACGGTAGGCTCGAACTTGTGCTCTTCCTGCCTCAGCCCCCCTAAGGGCTAGAGAGCAGGGGTGCACCAGGTCCTGCTGAAACACGAGTGAGGACTACAATTCCAACAAGCTTCTGGCTTGATATCAGGGCTGCTAGTCTACAGACAGAACAACCAACTTGCCCTGGTTTGTGTCGAAAGTTTTAATGAACCACTCAGCTTTAGCACTGAAGGTGCTGCGACCAGACCTCCCTTTGAATAGCGAGGTCATAGCAAGGCAGCGTGTGCTGAGTTTATACAGAGCTCCAGGGCTTTGCACGCCAGAGTCCCTGGAATAATCCTCTTGACATCGTAAAGAAGGTGACACTTAGGGCTTGGGGTGTGACTCAGTAGCAGAGTGCTTGCCCACCATGCCTGAGGCCCTGAGTTCAATCCCCAGCACTGCTAAAGGAAATAAGATAAACAAGATTCTTTTTAACAGGAATAGCAACACTTTACTTTATAAATGACCCCCCACTCCAGGCCTCAGCCTTCCATGCAGAGTAAATGCTAGTTTTGTGGGGACTGAAACTTAAATGCTTAGTGGCCCTTTTAAGCTAAGACCAAATCAACCCTCCCCCAAAGCCTTTGTTTTTCAAATCTTGCAGAACAGGATCCTCTGAACAAGTTCCCTTCAGTCTGTTTAGCCTCACCGGTGCTCACATCTTCTGGTCTTGGTAGCCAGTGACTGCCACTTCTGCAAGATGACCACCAGGGGGCAGTCGATTTACATTGCTCCTTTCATTTCTACTAGCTCCTGAAATTTCCAACTCTTCCCCCGCAGCTGGCCCAGCCCCTTAATCCAACAAATTAATCTGTGCTGTGATAATGAGCAAAAAGAGTTCATGTGCTTCTCTCTCAATAGCATATTTGCCATTTAATGGAAATACTGAGAGATTGTTTTAAAAACAGATAAAGAATGCTGACGGGGGAGTTCGGGCACACTGCTGGATCAGAGATCACTGTAGAGATGTTTATGAGCAGGAGGACCCTTTCTCTACCCCAGAAGTAGTATCCATGTAGGGGTCCAGGGTCTTATTACCGTCCCCTGCCAGCCCCCAACATACTACTGCCCAAGCATTAGGCATCAGCTCTGGAATTCAGCTGCCTGGATTCAAATCCAGATACTAGCATGTGTTAATAAGGAACTGAACATCCCAGTGCCTCAGTTTCCTTATTTATTTGTTTGTTTGTTTGTTTGTTTCTTGCTTTTTGAGACAGGATCTTGCCCTGTAGTTCAGAGTGAACTTGAACTCAGTTTGTAGCCCAGGCTAGGCTCGAAATCACGGCAATCCTCTTGCCTCAGTCTCCTTGAGCGTTGGGATTACAGGTGTGCGCCACCGTGCCCGGCTTCAGTTTCCTGATGTGATTGAAATGAGAGTAATATGCTGACTGCATATCAGTGCTCTGGGTATTAGGTAAAATCAGGCCTGTGAAGAACCTCCAAAGAGGGAGATTATATAATAAACCTCGTCACCCCACTGTGCTGACCTCCTTCAGACCAAACAAACTCTCCTGTTTTTCCTCGGACCTCTAATCCCCACTCCCATGCTGATGCTTCAAGAACAGAGGGAGGGTTGAGAGCCCGAAAGGGGTGCAGTGTTTTCCAGAACTGTGATCTCCTTGCAAGCTGGGGTTGAGCCCCAGGGCCACCAGTGGGACCAGACTCCAGAGAGCCTGGCTCGGCATTTTGTGGAAGGTGAGTCGTATCACCCCGCGGCTCTCAGGAGCCCGACGTTTGCAGATAAGCATAGCGTGCAAAGGCAGATGCTGGGGCCACCACTGCGCCCCGCTCTGTCCCCATCCTGGTCCCGGGCCTCCCTCCTCAGCATGGTGGTGTGCTCTCTTTCTCACTCCCGCCCCCTTTCAGGACCTTCCCCTCCCCGTGGTTGCAGTCACCTTCAATCTCATCTATACTAATAGGCAAAACAGTGTGTGGTTCTCAAAGTTTGCTGCACATTATCATTGCCTGGGATTTTCCCAATCAGATTCTCAGGCAAAATCCCAAACGGACAAGATCGGGAACTCTGGCATCCATGATTCTGACGTCCAGCAAGTTTGAGGACCTGATTCCCAGAGTAATTCTCCAGCTGTTAGGTGCACACGAGTGGCCTGAAGAGTTGTTCAAATACACATTCCAATTCAGGAGTTCTGGGCCGAGTCTGAGACACCCAGGTAATAACGATGCCTGAGAGGCTAAATTGTGGAATTATGGTTGATGTATCAGAATCTTCTGAAGGACTTTCACAGCGCACCCCAATTGCAAATCCACTACATGTGGAGTGGGGGCTGATAGGGGTTCTAACACACTCGCGGGTCCTAGCAGTGCTTGCTGCTGGTTCATGGAGCACATTTGGAGTACCAGGGAAATACAGTATGCAACACAGGCTTAGGGATTAGGCAGCCCCAGGTCCCCTTTTTTGGCTTCATGCAGTTCTAGCCCTGTGATCTTGGGTAAGTCACTTATGCTTTCTGAATTGTAATTTCATCATCTGTAAAGTAGTTGTTACTGCACAAGGTGAATCGAGCTAATACGGACAGCTTAGTGTGCCAGTCCTCAGACCTGACTACAAACATGAATTATCTAGGGTGCTGTAAACAACAACTTATAGCTGATTTCATTGGTCTGGGGTACTGAGCATCTGGATATGGTTAGAAGTACTAGGGACCCAACCTAGGGGTGCTATGACACTAAACTATACTCCTATCCTTTTTTATTCCGAGACAAAGTTTTTCCAGGTTGGTCTCGAACTCATACTCCTCCTGCATCAGCCTCCCAAGTACTGAGATTACCAGCAGGTGTCACCATGCCCAATTACAAAGATGTACCCCCCCACCATTTCCACAAGCACTAGGAATTAAACCTAGCTCCTCCTGCATGCCAGGTGAATGCTCTACTAATGAGCTACATCCCCAGCCCCTACAGAATTTGTTCAGCCAGTACTAGGGACTGATCCAGTACATGGCTCCCAAACTTTAGAGTGCACTGGAATCACACTCATTCACCCAAGTTTCTGACACACCGGCCTGGGCTGGGGCTGGGACTGGGAAGTGGCCTTTCTAACAAGTCCCAGGTGGGGCTGGGGCTAGCTGTCAGGGACCCACATGCAGAGCCAGGGTGGTCACCACTGGCAATCTCAGACCTGTCACTCTTCGAGCCCACCTGGGTTACATGGGTGGGGGACCCCGTTTGTAGCTAGGGCAGAAGAAAAAGTTGGTTGCTTGAGAACACGGCATTAGGGGGATGAGAGGTGGGCCCTGCCGTGGTGACCCGGAGGCCAGGAGCAAGATGGAGGCTACTGGGAAGCCTTTGGCTCACTACGAGGGAGGAAGATGGTTTAACTGCAGAGGGGCCTGGTTTGGAAATAGCATCAGCTTCCTCTGCTGATGGCGCCCCTTTCCTGTCTTGTGAGACTGGAGAGCAGGGCAAGGAGACAGGACTGGGAGGTTGTCTCTGAAGTCCAAGTTTGCAGGCCCCTGCTCTTCCAGTCGCCTTTAATCCAGAAGGTTTCTGTTTGTTTAGGCAACTGATCCGCATTGGGCAGCTTGTGCAATACACTGGCTTTCCCCAGGCGTTTCCTTTGCCTACCAGCAAGCGCTTGACTTTCCTGAGGCAAACAGGAAGACAATAGCGCCCAGACAAAGCCAGCAGGTCGGTGAGGCTGTAGTGCAGGGCGACAGGTGTCACCTGGGGAGTGCAGCAGGGCCATCACTGGAGTCCTCTGGGCCTAGAAATGCTGAGGGCTAAGGCAGAAGGGCAGGTGGCCCACAGGCCCAGAGAGAAGGGACAAAGTGGCAGGGTCCAGCCACATAAACTGCAGGCCACATAAGAGCACCAAGAGAACACCAAGTCTTTATTACAGGAATTCCTATGAAACAGCTCCAAGAAAAAACCCACACATAGAAGAAAAAATAATAAAACAACACACAGACTTGGGGCAGGCGCCTCCCCCCACCCCGCACCTGGCCCTGGCCTGGAGCAGTCGGGGTCACACCCAGAGCCCCTCTTCTGCCCCTCGGGGTCAGCCGTCTGGAGCTTCAATTGGCAGCTGAGGGTTTCCCCCTCCCTTCAGCGCCCCAGGCCTGGCCAGGGACCAGCCAAGGGCAGGGACCGCTACCGGAGTCCCCAGCAGCACGCTTCCAAACTTGGTCACGCTGTGGGCGTGAGGACTCTCTGCTGCCCTGGGGTCGCAGAAGAGGGGAGGGGGACACGGAATGAGGCGCGGTCCTGGCTCACCCTCACCACCCCCCGCTGCCACAAGCCCCACAAATACTGCATCGGACCCCACTCCCACCCCGCAGCCTCGCCACCCCGCGTGGGGAAGCTGGAACTGGCTGGGCCGGCTGCGCACGCTGTGTCCAGGGAGACAGGCGCCTCCTTCCCTTGGCAGTGGTCGTTGCCGGCTAAGAGTCCTGGAGTCAGTTGCTCTCCTCCCACCATCTTCTGGCTTCGGGCAGGCGCCCCACCCGGTCCTAAACCTTCTCCAGGGCGTCACAGCCCAGCCTTGGAGGATAGACCCTGCCTGGCTGGAGTACTCAGCTCTGAGGCCACCCTCCCCACCCTGGTGGGAGGCCGGGTGCTGAGGGTCACCCCTGGGCTCCTCCACCCGCGGCTCTGGGAGGCTGAGATGCAGCTGGCCCGCACTGGGGAAGAAAGGACACGAGGTGCCCAGAGAGCCGGGGCCAGGGGAAGGAGACTGGGCAGAGTCTGAGGCCTGGCTGGAGAGACGGGAAGGGAGGAAGGCAGGAGGTCGCGTCCAGGCCAAGAGCCTGCCCTTTCCCAACTCCCACCTCTGCACTTTAAGAAGGGAAGGGGTGGTTCCTGGCGTTTCCACTCATTGCTGTAGAAAAGCCTGGCTGCAAGAGGGGCTGTAACCGGCTGCTGTCGCTAGAGGCCCCAAGCCCCTCCTCCAATCACAGGATGGCGACTCCGAAGTTCTAAGTCCCAGAAGGTGGCAGTGGCTGGGCTGGACCATGGCGGGAGAACTACTCGCTCTGGCTGCATCCGGGCCCTTTAGCAGGGTGCCGCCTTGCTCTCGGCTGCCCCCACCAGGTCAGAGCAGCCCTGGCGAGGTGGAGCAGCTGGCACCTGTCAGGGAAAAGGAATGGGTGAAGTCTTTTCTCAAAGGCACCCACTGGTTGGGCACGGTAGTGTGTGACTGTAATCCCGGCACCCTGGGAGACTGAGGCAGGACTTTCTGCCAGCCTGGGCAAAACTTAATGACTTAACAGGACCCTATCTTAAAATAAAAAGTGAAAAATGGGCTGGGGATGCAATAGTGTGAAGGCCCTGGGTTCAGTCCCCAGTATGCAGGAAATACCCCACTCTTTCGGTCAGTGGTTTCTAGAGACTTACTTTTGGGCCGAAGATACAAAAAGTCAGGAGCCCCCTCCTTGCTCCCTTCTCCCGGGGATATAGCCTGGGAACTCTGCCCTGGGTCATCCCAGCAACCTGCAGAACAGCAGGGGCTCGGGCTGGCAGGAAGTGGCTGTATGGGAAGAGCTCAGCGCCTGCCCATCTGTGCTGACCCAAGGGGGTCTGGGGGGCAGGAAAGTAAGGTGGGGCCAGAACTGGATGGGCGGGACACCAGGCTGAGATATTCCTAAGGCTTTGCTCTGGAGACCCACACAGAACAAGGGCGGGGTAGGACCAGTGTGGGGTTTGGCGATGGGAGGGTCAGAAGCAGCAGCAACTAGGGCTACTAACTCGGTGATGAGTCTAGGGGTAGACGGAATGGGGAGAAGAGATGGAACGAGGAAGCAGCAGGAAAGACTGCCTGGCTCTTAGGCTGACGTCCAGGGCTGGAAAGATAATCACGGTGCAGCTGGGGATTGGAGACCACGGGAGGAGCGACTGTGCCAGAGACAACTGCTCAGAAGCCCTGTGGATGCCTGCAAGAGGGCAGAGACGCTGCCGGAGAATGTGTGGCTGTGCGGGGCGGAAAGGGTCAGGGCAGAGCAATGAGTGGGCAACCAGAGCCTGGAAGGGAAGAAGGAGAACCAGGGCTCCTGTGCTCACTGGAACCAACCGAGGGGTTTTGGGAAAAGACAGGCATGGCAGGGAGTGCCAGAGAGGGCAGGGAGGCTGAGGCCCTGGAGCGGGCAGGTGACCTCCCTGAGTCAGTCTTCTGTCAGAGCTGCCAACTTGCAGTGGGTGGAGGAAGCCACTCTAGGGTCAAAGGGGCAGTACAGGAAGCGCTCCTCCTGGTTTGTCTGTGGTGCTGGGGATTGAACCCAGGGTGCTCCGTTGCAGGTAGCTCACTGAGCTACATCCCCGGCCCTTTTAATTTTTTTTTTATTTTGACACAGGGTATCACTACATTGCTCAGGCTGGCCTTAAATTTACAATTCTCCTGCCTCAGCCTCCTGAGTAGCTGGAACTGGCTGGGATTATAGGCACACACCAGCAGCCAGCCCCTCGGGGTCTTCACGGTGGGGAGGAAAAGTAAATTTAAGGGAAAAGCCTGAAAATTCAGGAGAAAAAGGAGTGAAAAGCAGGATTCTGAGATAGGGGTAGTTTGGGGTAGGACCCACTTTCCCTAGGGACCCGTGGGGAGGAACAGGGGTGGGAGGGGCTCCAACATGGGATGGGGGTGGACGTGTTTCCCTGGCTGGCTTCGTTTATTCAGGCATCCCAGGGCCGTGTGAAGCAGGGGTGTAGCTCTGCGATGACTGGGGAAAGGCTGGGAGGATGGGGGGGGCTGGAAGCTGGCGGGGAGGGATGCAGTGGGGAGATAGCTCGAGGCTCTGTCCTCTGCACCTGGTACATCTCACTGCCACTGCCACCAGCCCCGAGGGCTGTACACTGCAGCGCAAGAAAGCCTGGCAGACGCTGATCACAAGGGCCAGAACAGAGGTAGAGCGGGAGCAGGCAGCTTCCTGATGGGGGAGAGTGGCTCGTGTGCATCCGTTCTGTGGCAGCCTCTCGTGCATTCGTCTGTCCCCCAGGGAGGTGCCCAGGGACACGGGAGGAAAAGCAGCCTCTTCTCAGAGCTCTGGCCAGAGCAGCCGCCTTAGGGGAGGTGGGATTTCCTCCTCTGGTGTGGCAGGTCCCAGACCACCCGACCCAAGTGGAAGACTAGACACTAGCCTCATTTTTTTCTGAAATTGTCCACCCTGTGCTGAGTGTGACCAGGACTGTCTTCTCAGTGGAGCTGTAAACTATTCAAGGTCAAGAGCTGATTCTGTTTTCAGCTCCCAGCACCTGTCCAAGGCAGGTGTGATGATCTTTTGTCAAATGAGTAAATAACCAAATAAAAGACCGGCAAAAGATTAGTCTGCATGCAGAAACCATGACCCTGGCCATGAGGAGGAGGGAAGAGACCCAGGAGCTCTGCTACTCCGCTGCCTGAGCCTGGTGCCTCTGTTCTTCCGAGAAGACAGGTGAGGTGGGGCAGCTCCCAGACAGCCACGGCTCTGAGACTTACCTCTTATTGTCCTTCTCTGAGGGGTTCCTCCACCTTGGGTGTCTCTTGCCGCCTTCCCTGGAAGTCTTCATCTGAAAGCAGAGGGGAGCCCCCTCAACCTCCAACCTGCACCCGCCACCCCCTTCCTCCAGTGGGGCACGAGCTGGCTCTGGTGGGCAACACATGTGTCTAGTGAGAGGCAACAGGACACCTGGGTGCTGCTGGCCAGGCTCTCGGGCCTTGGACAAGTTCTTTCCTCTTCTTTGGGTCTCAGTTTCCTCATCTGTAAAAGGGGAGGGGAAGCTGGACTATCCAGATGACCCCCCAAGCTCTCTGGTCCTTGTCTCTGGATGTGTCCTGGCCTTGTGGGCCCTATGGCATGAGGATCAGGGTTCAGCTGTGTGTGGCTTGGCAGGATCTGAGGGGGGTAGGGCTCAGTAGGGTCTTCTGGTCCCGTGGCTTTGGAAGAGACTGGGTGAAAGCTGAAAGGCCTGAAGCTGCAGGCACACAGTCCCCTGACTCGGGACACCCAGGATCTCCTCTTGCAGTGTCCCCTGTCACAGACATACTGGGGTCAACGGTTCTGCTCCCTGGCTCACCACAAGCATGGCCCTCCACGTCGTCCAGGAGATTGGCTGTTGATGCAGCGGCCCCCAGACTGCCAAGCCATTCAGGAAAACTGTCCAGGAGATAGACCAGCACCGCCAGAGCCCAGCCAGCTCTACCCACTCCCTGCCTCACCCCACCCCCAAGCTCCGGAGGTCTCCATCTCTGTTCCTCAACACCCCAACAGGGTCAGCAGAGCAGCCAGGCCATGACCCTTGGTCCCCAGCCACCGTCTCAGGGAGTAGGAGAGGGATTCTCTCCCTGCCCCTCTGTGGCTGTCAAGCTTTTAATGTCTTGGGCCCTGTCTGACACCATGGATGGGAGTCTGGGTAAAAACATGGAAAACCTCATTTCTACTCAAGGAACTGAAAAGGAGACTGCGGGCCTCTAGCAATGAGGAGATGTAAGGACCCAGGACCAGTTCAACCAGAGAAATTAGCAGAAGGTTTGCTGATCACAATGGAAGAGCCATTTTCCTCCCAGGAAGGAGGAAGAGGAGGAGAGGAAGAAGCTGGGATTGTTGTCATTCTCACCACAGGGCAAACAGCCTCCCTCTGCTCTGCTCCTGAGCCTGGCCCTGCTGCTCCAGGTCATAGGCGGCCACCAAGCAGCCCAACTCATGGAGCAGAGAGAAGCCTGCAGAACCTGATGCCACTACTGGCGAGAGTACAGCTTTGGGATGCCAAGGCAGCATCCACCACCAGACCCATGCCAGGTCAGGATACAACTGATGCTTGGGCAAGTGCTTCCTCCTGGACTTCCTCATTTTGGTCTTCTCGGAGAAGGCTCGGGCCAGCTCAAACAGCTTCCTCCGCGTGGCTGGAGCAGAGACACCTGTGAGCATTCATTCTCTTGGCAGTGAGGCACCAGATGGCCTCCCCCCAAGTCTAGGGGTAGCCAGGGCAGCACCAGGCCCCGCTGGGGTGGGAGCTGGGGAGAGGGAGGTGACAGGAGCTGTGTGCCACCTCACCACCTCAGGAGCAAGGCTGCCATCCCAGGTCAGCCTGCAGGGGCAGCAGAGGCAGCCAGGAGCCAGGCCCAGGGCCCCAGGCAGCCCAAGATCCGGGTACTCCTTTCCCAGCTAGACAGCCTGCCAGCCCTAAATCTGGCTTCCTTTCCTGCCCCCTCCCTTAGCCACCTCCAGAGTTGGTCCTGGGATTTCCATGAGTAATCTGAGGTTTTTCCTGAAATCAAGCTTGGAAGGATAGTGCTTCTGAAGGCTCACAGGACTTTGGGGGCAGAGGTCCCCAACCCTGATGGCTCCCTGCCCCACAGAAAAGGGGCTTCACAGGGCCTCCCCGCATGACCAGACAAGGCCAGCTGCCTCAAGCCACAAGGAATGTGAACGCGACATCCGGGTGAGGCCATGTGGGGCACATTATTTTCCTGCAGACAGCTGGCCCAAGAGGATTTAAACTTAATTTGTATCCAGACTCAGCGGCAAAGGGAAGTGAGGCAGGAAGGCTGAGGGAGCCAGCCTGCGATTAAAATGTCACTCCAGTTCACCCAGAGTCAGCGGCATTCAAAACCCGGCCTCCTCCCAAGAGCTAGGAAAATGGGGAGGGGGTTGCAGGTGGGACTCACATTTTCCCATGTGTTTCAACTTGTCCCTGAATAAGGCATCTTCCGACACAGAAGGGTTGGCATCACTGTTTCCTGGAAGGAGGAGACACCTGCTGAGGGATGGTGTCTCTGAGGTCCCATTACAGAAAAGAAGACTGTGCGGCTGCCTCCCAGGGAGGTGGGGCAGGACCGTCCCCATGGTGGCCATTTGAGCCCTATCCTCCCATTGCAGAAAAGATGCAGGTTCCTTCCTTTAACCAGGAGGTAGGCTAAAGCCAGGAGGATACCTGGGGTTGTAGGAGAACTTCTTTCCCCTGGCAAACCATGCTTTCTTCCTCTGTGGAAATGAGGACACTCTCTTTTTGGAGGGGAAGGAGAATTGAACCCAAGGCCTTTGCATTGAGCTGTATCTCCAGCCTTTTTTATTTTTCATTTTGAGAGGGGGTCTCACTGAACTGCCCAGGTGGGACTCAAACTTGTGATCTTTCTACCTCAGCCTCCCAAAGGCTGGCCTGCCTCACTGAAAATGGGGACATTCTTAGGGTCTGCTGCATATGTGGGAAGCCAGCTGGAGTCCCAGCTCGCCACTCCTCACCCACCCTCTGAGCAATTCCACATCCTGTGAAGTCACATTGGTAGTTTGAGCTCTAATGGGGGTATTTACTCCATAGAAGTCACCTGGCTACAAACCAGGCTTCCCCTGCACCAGAGCCACCGTTAACCATTCTTCCCTGCATCCGTGGGTGTGAGCTCCCCCTTCCTCCTTCCGGGGAGGTCAGCCCACCCCACACCCTCCAGGACTCTGAGCAGGAATGGGAATGGGGTGCAACCAAGAACTGGAGGTGCTCCTGGCTCACCAGCCCTGCTTGGGCTTCTTCTAAAGCCACACTCTCCATCCTGTAACTAATCCCAAGTCACCTTGCCTGCTAAGTCCTCCCTGAGTCATTCTGATTCACCTCAGCAGCCCTGGTGTCTCTGGTTAATTCAGGATCAAGGACAAGAGGCTCCGTGAAAATGCCCAGATGCGCATCTGCTGGGGCCTAAGCTGCTGCTTGCAGGATTTTCTCTCTTCAAACTGGGTTGAGCTGAGCCCCCACCCCACTGCTCCTGCACACCCCACTCCAGTGCACCATGGACGCTGTGTTCCAGGCAAATGCTACTGAGCTTTTCTGTGCCTGGGCAGCTTGTGTATGTGTGGGGCAGGACACTGACCAAACAGGGAACACCGTGCCCACACAGAAGCCGGGTCCAGATGTTGAGGGCTCCCAGTTCTGGCTCCAACCTCCAGTCCATGTGTCCCACACCCTAGGCCCCCTTCAGCCAGAAGACTCCCAGCACAAAGGCCTGACCTACTCCTAAGGCAATTCTTGTTTGCAGGACCTTGTGTTCAAAGCTTGAAATTTCTCTTCCTTTAACAGCTAGGGTGGAGCCCAGTCCACAGCACATATTTCCCAGCTACTTGAAAATGAATGAACAAACTCTTCCGGGATTAATCTCACCCCCTCCTCCTCTTCTCCATGCATTTTCTATAATCAGCAAACCTGTCCTAGATATGGCGGTGCACGCCTATAACCCCGGCCACTCAAGAGGCTGAGACAGGAGCGTCACAAGGTTGAGTCCTACCTGGGCAATTTAGCAAGGGCTTGTCTCCAAATAAAATAAAAAAGGACTGGGATGTAGCTCAGTACTAGAACATTTGCTTAGCATGTGCAAGGCCCTGTGTTCAATCCCCAGTACTGCGGAAGAAAACATTAAAAAGTGCTTCCTCAGCCCTGCTGCTGTGTTCCACCTGTTTCTTGGACATAGTTTCTCACAGGACCACAAGCTTCTACAGGACAGAGACCAGGCCTTGGAAGTCTCGGAGACTTTCCTGCCCCCGTGACATTATGTGGTGTGACGTATCTCACCAGGCACAGGCCGGGAGCTCAGCCAACCCGTGTTAACCACAGGCTCAGGCTAGTGAGGACCCAGGGCTACTCGGTGAGAGGACACCTCACTCCATGGCAGGTGCCAAGACGGGAGCAGCACCATCTCTACCAACTTGCTGAGGGGCCTCAGGACCCCCGCCTCTTGGTTTCAAACCCTACAGCCAAACTCCACATATTCAAGGGCAAGTTGAGGTATGTCCCCCAGAAAGCAAGGTTACCTGGGACAGAAGAAGGAAAGCCAAAGTCATTTCCCACAGCCACGCTGCTGGATTTGGATTTCTGGGACTCATATTTCAATCGATCTGGAAAAGTAGCATATTTCTGTTAGGGAAGCCAGCTCCCAGCTCCCAGGGGTACGCTGGAAGATGGAGGATGCTGAGTCCCCAGAATCACACCCAATGTGCACACAAAGGATACAAGTACGCACAGAGCCAGTGGTAACATAGAAATGACTGCCTGACAACTACCTGAAATATTAGAAAGTCAGAATCTGATGTTGGCTGATAGAGTCCGGTGGTGAGCACACGGCAGATGGGGGTGTGCGCCCCTCTTCCTGAGTCCGAGGGAGGAAGAGGGTGTCTGGTGCCCCAGGTCCACATGGGCAGAATTCTGAGGCTTCCCCACAGGATCGCTGGTGTGGGCTGGGCCTAAGTGCCGGCTCCCTGAGCCCCCAGGCAGAAGCCCACTGCCCTTCTCCAGCCCTGGGGCAGTGGCTGCAGTGCCCGCCCGCCCGCAGATGCCCACCTCTCTCCAAGGCGAGGAGGAAGTCTCGGTTGCGCTGCAGCTCCTTCATGAACTCCTCGTTCTGCAGGAAGAGTGCGATCCTCTCGTCCTCCAGGTACTGCTTCCAGCGGCTGTCCTGGTCTCCGGCCGTGGGCCGCACGCCTCCCTCTCCGCTCCCGGACTTGGGGCACCGGGGGTTACCCTGAGGGAGGAGCATGCTGATGCCCACTCATCAGGCACGCATCCCACCCACATCCGTGCACACTTTTATGTACACGTACCCTTTCCCAGGATGCTCGAGCCCACCACTGCTGGGGAAGCAGCAAGGGCTCAAAAATGACCTTTCCCCAAGACCTCAGATCCCCTCATTCCTTCACTCACAAGCTGAATGCTCCTGAAAATGTGTCCGCACACTGCTCTACATATGGACACCCAAACTCCAACATCTCCCTGTGCGCTCGCTGCACAGGGTGAGACACACGTGCTCTGCAGGGATACCCTGGGACCTGTCAAGGTCTAGGGAGAAGCTATCCCAGCCCTTTCCCAAGAGACAAGAGCCACTGGCTGCCCCAAGCCCGCTCCCTCCATCCTGAGGTGAGGGCTGCAGCCAGAGAGTACCCTCAGGCCGTCACTTCTCACAGGCAGAACGGGAAACCTCCAGGCCCAGACAGGAAGTGAGGCCTTCGGTTGGGCACTCTGCCTGCAAAGCCATGGCAACAGAAATAGCTCAACCTGAGCTTAACGACCAGGAAGCAAGACTGGCTGGCACAAATCACGTGGGTGAAGAGAACTACTAGACAGGCCGTCAGGCTGCGGGGCGGGGCAGCAGCCCATTACCTGTATGCTGTCCAGCTGCTGGGGTAGGATGCGGAGAAAGTCATCAGGGAGGTTGCCCAGCAGGGGTGGGTTCCAGTTCCGATAGCGCCTCTGGCTTGCAGAGGGCCCGGAGCCCAGCAGGTCAGTCCTGGGGGATGGAAGGTGGGGAAGAAGAAGTAGTCAGGCTGGAACATGGGCCTCCCAGCCCTTCACATGCATCCTCCGACAGGCAGGATCCTGCTCAGAGTTTCCCAGGGCCCCTGCTACTTTAGACAAAGGCTTTGCTCTCATCACAGGAAGCTCTTCTAAGTCCCCGGCCTTGGCCTTGGCCCTGGGCTCAGGTGACTGTCACTGCTGTCTCCTCAGAGGACGTCCAGGGCGCTGGAACTTTGCTCGTGGCACTATTGTCAATCTTGTGGATTTAGACATAAATGTTTATAAATGTTCCCTGTAATCAAGGGATCGTATCCTTTAAACCTAGCACAATATAAATGAAGTACTAATAGAAGACACAGAATCCACTAATAGCCAGCCTGCCCACAGGTAAGGTGTGTAGCAGGACGTCTGTGCCAGGACAGAGGGCAGCTGTGTGGGGCTGCAGGACAGGAGGGGAGGCAATGCTGCCCAGGCCCGAGGGCAGCCTGGAGCCTGGCCAGGTGCTCCCGGAGCTCCTCCACAGCCGGCAGCGTGGCAGCCGCAGGACACGTGTTCCGCTGAATCAGGGAAATGACACACTGAGAAGGCAGCCGTGGTCCGGGGGTGGTGGGGGCCTCTCCTGCTCAGCCTGGCTTTGATTTGGCCTCCAGCTCCAGGAATCCCGCCCACCCCCTCACTGGAGGGGAGCTTTTCCGGGCTCCAGGACTGTGGAAATAACTTCCTTTCCTTTTCTATTTTGGGCCGGTGGCCGGTGGGAGCGAGAGAGAAGAGGAGGCAACAGACGGATAACCAGCTGCTAGGAGCACAGTGGGAGCTCAGCCTGGCAGCCTGGAGCCAAGGGAACCCCACATGCAGCCACCCTCTTGCAGTCCAGACCAGGGAACCCTCCGAGAGGGAAGCCTCTGTCCCTATCATAGGCTTTGCTTTCCTCCAAAGGCCCAAGAGGATGCCTCATCTCTCAAGGCCTTGAAGATGGGAGAAATCTTCTCTGGGCCGTGACCCTGCACTGGGCCTTGGGGTCTTCACCTGGGGACACAGGTGCCCCCCTGAACTCAGCCACACCTTGGGGGCACCAGGAAGCCGCAAAGCTATATCTGTGCCCCTCCGGCCACTCTGTCACCAAAAGACCCAAGCGGGAGGGGTCAGGGCAGAGGAGCCCCTGTTTCCCACTGAGTCTCCCTTGCTTCTGGGTCCAGGGTGCTAGAGGAAGGACACGCCCAGCCCACCAAGCCCCAAGCCCTGGCTCTGGTCTGGGCAGAGAGGTGGGCAGGCCACAGCTGCAAGAGCAGGGGGGCCAGACCTTGGCAGCCTAGGAAACTCCATTGTGGTTGGAAAGGAATGTCAGAAATGAGCTGAGAAGCAAATAAAAAAAACTTCCAAGGCTGTAATTCCAATGGAAGAATAGCAGGCAGCCAGTGTGGAGGGGTCTCCTGGACTTCAGAGACTTTCAGACAGACGGAAGGAGGGACAGGCTTGGGGGAAGGGAAAGAGACTGCAGGGTAGGGCCGAACTTCTGGCCAGAGCCTCTGGACCCCAAAGCTAGAACCTCAAGCCCCATCAGACCCGGATTTACCAAATGCCAGACCTGACTGCCAAGGACTTCAGAGACAGGAGGGTGAACAGCAGGATTTTGGGTGGAGACTTTTGGTGGAGATTCTTGAAGTCCACATGGGACAGGCCTTATCCCAAGGCACAATGGTCATCCAGGGTGAAGGGATCCCAGTGTTCCAGGCTTGCTCTCTGGGAAGACCCTGCCTCATGGGGCCCCCAGGGCAATGACCAGCTTCCAAACTCAGCCCACCCACAGGCTTACAGATTGAAGGGGTCAGATCATTTTCCTCCTTCAAGACTGATCTCCCTCAGCAGCTGGGAAAGTCTGGCCACACCACTGAAAGTCTCTCTGGGCCTCTCCATGGCTGCAGGGTAAGATGGAAGCCCCCACCACCTGCTGGCCTCCAGCCTCGTCCAGCTCTCCATATTCCAGCAGTTTCCAGATGCACCTCTCCTGCCCCCAGGCCTTTGCACATGCTGTCTCCTGTGCCTGGCACACCCTCCTGTCCACTACTTCATAGGCTGATGCCAAGGTGTGTGGCCTTCAGCTCACAACATGGACAGCAGTCCCTCTAGCCCCCCACCCCCGGGTTTATGCTCCCTGGACTCTGATCTCCTTGGGGTGTGAAGGAGGGGACACGGCAGTTTGCTCATCCATGATTAGTGTGGAAATGAAATGTCCTGGATACAGAGACTGAATGAGGTCTCCATCTTCTGTACACTTTTCATTGATCCTACCTCAAAACACTGCACTTTGTAACTTTCTAGATCTCAGGCTACAGTCTGAGAGTCCTCACTAAGCAGAAAGAGTAACTGGCCTTGAAGTCCAAAAGATCTGGATTCAAATCCCACTTCTTACACCGGGGGTGCTGATAGTGCCATCTCCTAAGTCATTAGGTAAGGAACCTGGGTTGTCAGGCATTTGAAAGGCGCTTGGTAAATGGCAGCGGTTTTTGGTAGCTATACCTGCATGATAGACAACACAATTCCCCAGAACCACGGCTCAGGGGCTCCCAAGATCCTCCACCTGGCCTGAGTCCTTGTAAGAACACCAGTCCAAGGTCAAAGAGACAACACCTGGCCTCTGGCAGCCCACAGCCCACTATGAACATGGAGGCCAGGAAACAAGGGCCTCACAGACCCACAGCGCCCTTTTGGCAGCCAGCTTCATTTTAAACTCCATTCACAGAATCCTTAACCTGGAAAAAGTCTCCAGGGTCCTCACACTCTTCTTTCCTGCCTCCAGTTATCAAACTATCCCAGAAAAAGGGATTTACTCCCCTTGTTAAAAAAAAAAAAATCCTAAATTTGCTGGACATAGCAGTGTACACCTTTATTCCTAGAGACTTGGGAGGCTGAGGCAGGAGGATTGCAAGTTTGAGGCCAGCCTGGACAATTTATCAAGAGCCTGTCTTGAAATAAAATAAAAAAGGCTGGTGTGTAGCTCAGTGGTAGAGACCTTGAATACAATGTGCAAGGCCCTGCTTTTGCTCTCCAGTAGCAGGGGAAAAAAAATCCCCACTAGCCCCCTGGCCCAGAGAGGACAAGAGACAGCCATTCCATCAGTGACTGATGACTACTGGAGAGAGCTGCATCGAGGAGCTCCGAGGCATCTTGACTCAGTGGAAGGAGCAGTGATTAATCAGATGTTTCCTCCTGCTCAGGGGGAAGGTGTCAGCGCGCATCCCGTGGCTCTCCTTTCCTACTCTGGCGTCACTAACCCAGAAAGCAGAAGGACACACTGCCTAGCCTAGAGTAGGAACTGAAAAGTTTGCCCTTGCAATCCTGACATCGTGAAAGTTCTCCGCGTTATCAAGCCCAGGCGTCTTTGCCACAGTGGGAGCCCGCTCTCAGTGGAATCTGATTCGGAGGGATCCAGCCACGTTTCCCGGCTCGGTGTCCACCCCAGCCGATCCCTCCCCACTCACCGGGGAGGTGGCGTCGGGGGAGCCTGGGGGTAAGGCCTGTCGAACATGTGCATGTGGTAGGCTGGCGGGGAGTACACAGGAGGAGGCTCTTCGTCGGAGCTATCGGGTTCCAAAGTCCTTTCCAAGATCTAAATCAGAGACAACAAAGAAAGACATAGTAAGAAGCCTTCCTGGAATCTAAATGGCACTGAGACAAAACCAAGCGTGGGCGAGGATGTGTAATGAGGCACTGTGTGCCTCGCTGGTGGGAGTGCAACTTGATACAGCCACTTCTCTATAAACTGGGTCTGGTCTGCTAAGCCTGAACCTGTGGCTGCTCTGTCCCCACCGTTCCTGCAGCCCCAGTGGACATGAAAGCACATGTTCCCGAGGAATGTTCATAGTGGCATCAGCCACCAAGCGGGGTTCAAGAACAGGCCAGGGGTAGGGTCAGCAGCCTCGCCCTGTGGGTAGGTGCGGGGGTCTCTTGCGCCCTGAACGTCCCTTGACCTGGGTGTGACACTGCGTCGTGAAGCTTCACGGTGATGCTTGCGAGTCTCATCCTCCTTCTCGGGGAAATGTCACCCATATCCTCTTCAAAGTACTTCTGCACCTATTGTCCTAACCTCAGGCTGCCTGGCAAGGTAGGGTGTGGATAGTGACACCCCTTTCGCAGAAGAGGAGCCTGAGACCCAGGTTGTCCAAGTGACGTGGAACTCGGTCTTTAACTGGGACCCTGGTCCCACAGCCAGGGTCTCTCCTTCAGGTGCAGACCCCACACCCAGCTCTCCTACCCAGCTGCCTGTCTCACCCGGGAGCCAGCAAGGAGGGACAGGGAGAGGCCAGGACTGGGCTCCCGGGTCATGGACTGAGCTAGGCCTCTCCCCAGATGTCCCCAGAGGCATCTGCAGCAGGACATCTCTCATCACACGTCCTGATGGTCTACACATCACCTCACGATCCTCTCTCCTCCAGCCCTGCGTGCTCTTCCCAACTCCCGCAGGACTCAAGAATGGGGAGGGGCTCAGAGGCTGCGGACTGGTCCACATTTAACTCCAAGTGAGTTTGTAGAAGTAACTTCTCAAGCTGCCCATCCCTGCCTCCCCCCAGCATGGCTAGACCTGCCATAGCCGGCCCTCGAGCCTCACAGGGCACCCTGGCAGTGAGCACGCACGTATGAGCACACACACAGGCACACACTGCAGAGTCTGCACTTGTCTAGGAGGCCTCTGGCCCTGGAATGCACTAACGTTCTTTCCTGTGAGGCAGAAAGTATTTAAACAGATGCTTTTGCAGGAAAGAAGAATACAGCTGCTTTGAGGGCCAGTGCTGCGCCTGCTGCAGATTACCATGAGGAGGAAGAGAGAAAGAGACATAGAGAGAGGCACACACACAGAGACAGAGAGAGATAGAGAAAGATGGAGAGACAGAGACACAAAGAGAGAGGCAGACAGAGACAGAGCCTGAGACACCGAGAGACTGAGGCATTGAGGCTGCAAGCACTGTTCCTGTTCATGGTGGCTCGGTGGGAGCCTGAGGTACACTGAAGACTTTCTGCGACCACCCACTGCCCACACACTCCTTACCCAGACTCCTCTGCTCTGGGTCCAGCCTGGGGCCTGGCCAGTTCCCGTGAGGCTGGTCTCATGAGACAAGGAGGAGGGGAGAACTGGAGGAACTGTTCCCAGAGGAAGCTGTCTTGGGTTCCTCTGCTGACAGTGCCTGCAGGAGTCAAAGCCCCAGACCCCAGAGATTAGGCTGAGGGCTCCCTGGTGCAGCCCCCATGGGCAGTGAGCTGGCCGTACAGAAAGGTGACCCCAGGCCCAGTGCCTCTCTGGCCTCCTCTGCCACCGGACCAGCCACAAGGAGCCTATGCCGGCTCTAAGGTGCTGGGGTTTTCAGCCCTGTGGGCTGCAGATGCCGGCCAGGTACTAGGGGTGACAGATGGTGGGGTGACAGATGCCGGCCAGGTGCTGGGGTGGGGGACAGGGTCTGGGCTGTTTATCTGGCAGGAGACGCTTCTCTATGGCAAGGGTACCCCTCAGGCTGGCCTGCCACCCACCAGCCCGAGAGGGGCTCTTTCCAGTCAGCAGTTGCTGTCGCTCCAGCTGCTGCTTGTAAATTTTCTGCAGACTTCCCACTAGTGGGCTTGGAGCTGGCTGCTTATGGGCCCAGGGAGGGCGCCAGCCGGGAGCTGGGGAAGAGTCGGGGAGGGCAGCATGCAAGGAAGATCTCAGATGGAGAGCAAGTCTCAGGAGAAGAAGTCACACACAGTACAGGTGACATAGGGACCGACCAGGGAGCCACAGGGCTGTGGGCACCAAGGATAAAGGAGGAAAATCCTGCTTATGAGAACCAAAGAGACTGCAGAGAGTGAGACAGCGCAAGGAACTTTCCAGCTTACACTGAAAAAATGTTTTGCACACACATAATGAACGCACGCGCGCGCACACACACACACACACACACACACACACACACACATCTCCTTCCCACAAGGAGGATCTGGGTTCAAGAACAGGCCAATACTCCTTCCACTGGCCATTCCACACAAATCAATAAGAGATGATAGAAAGTTGTGCAAACGCAGCAGCAACATTTATTCATTCGACAAACATTCCCTGAGTGCCCACTATGTGCCTGGGTTGTCCTGGGTGTTGCACGTGGCACAGAGGACAAGAGAGATGCTACCTCCAAAGCAGTGGTGCCTGGCACAGCCTGAAAGCCTCTCATCTGCTGGCTCTTTCCTGCCTAACTCTTGTCACCAGTCCACACTGGACTGTGCACCCTGGGAGGCACGAACTTTCTGACTTGGCCAAGGTGGACACCGCAAGGTCAAGAGCCTCTTGAAAAGTATACATTAGAAGATTCTGGGCCTGAAATTGGGTCTCGGTGTGTGGAGCTGGGGCCCAGGCATCTGCATTTTTAACAAGCATCTTGATTCTAATGACCCCGACCCAGGGTCTTGCCTGTTGCACCAGGTGAGCTCAGTGTTTGTTGACTGACTGTACAACATCTGCCAATTAATTCAATTTCCCAAGGGGAAGGAGGCCTGCTTGCTTAGACCTAGGCCCGGGAGCCACCCGGAGCCGCTGAAGGCTGTCCCCACCTCGTCCTACCTCCGGGGGGATGCTATCCTCCGAGTCGGAGCTGTCCTCGTAGGCGCTGCCACCGCCCCCCTCCAGGTTCATCTGCAGCAGCTGGTCGATGGTGGCGTCCACTGCGCCGCTGTTAGCGCGCAGCACGCACTCGATGATGTCGTAGTCCATGTTGGGGAACATGGTCTTGAAGTCGTCCATGGCCTGGTTGAACTCCAGGCGGCGCACCTGGCGGGCCGGCCGGCTGTTGTTGAGCTCCTG